ATGTAAAGTCCCACAACGATAGCATGGACTGGGTGGTGGTTTCTTCTGAGGTTTCATTTGACTTTTTGTAGTAAAATAATTGGTTTGGTTTGTCTTTGAGGAGGGAGAAAAACGTGTTTGTTGTTGTACTTTTTGCATGTGAGCAATGCCAGTCTCTTTGATATCTTTCGAGTCCTTTTCTACACTTATACATCTCTGACAGTCCTCAGCAAATTTTTTAGTGTCAGTTTTGGTTCACTCTCCAATTTTGTTAGAATTCTCTATCTGATCTCCACATCTTTAGTCGAAACCAGGCCTTGGATGAATATCAAACTTTTAAAATTGTCAGATAACTTAAAGTCATCACAGTGTTTGTTTACTACGGAAGCAAATGTTATATAGTCTTTGCAATCCTTTTTTGTTAAATTTAAACACTTCCACCTTTTGTGGAATAGTGAAGTGTTCGAAGTAAATAATTCCGTTAAAAGTTTCACAGCTTCCCTGAAAGCTGACTCATTTGTTTTCCTCGGTAGTATGTAGTCTACAAATTTAGTGTATTTGCTTGACCCTAGTTTCCTCAGTAGTAGACATACTTTTTCGCGTCTGCCCAGTTCCTGCAATCAAACTAATATGAATCTGAAGTAGGCCGTGAAGGTTTTGTCTTCATCCAGTGCATAAGTGAAGTCTTTGATTGAGCTTCATATAGCATTTTGCGAGAATGCCACTTCATTTTCAGAATTTTGTCCTTTATTTGTTACTGCCCATAGTAGTAATTCTTGTAGTTCGAGTTGCTTTTCTTCATTTTTCTGTTGAATTTCTAATTGTTTTCTTCGAGCCTAGTCTGTCTTTCCTCATTTTTTTTTTTTGCTGCTCGAATTGCATTTTCATTAGTTCCAATATGGTTGCCTTAAAGTCTTTCATGTTTACACCATAATTTAATAATAACACAGGCTATCTGTTGTCACAAGAAGAGGAGGAAAAAAACTCAATTTTTCCCCTTACTTTTCTTTTTCGCAATATGTACTTTGTAGTTAATTATGTACTTGTGCAACAATTTTTCCTTTTTTCTCAGTGTAGACTTCAAGTCTTTGTCGTCTGCAACCTTGGTACAAAAAAATTTTCCTGCGTAGAATTCGATTCTATTCTGGTTGACAGTTAAAATTTGTGTCTTTGTTACCACTGTTATGGTTGGTGTCCAAAAATTTTTTTTTCTTTTATCTTTGCATAGAACTTGTGTTTTTTTTCTCGATATCTCTGTCGCCTTTGTTATAGACGATCGATAGCAATAAAGGTTTTTTTTTTTTATATATCCTCCATGTAGAATTCGTTTCTTCAGTATCCTTGTCGCCACTGCTATGAAATAATAATACAAGATGTGGAAGGTGTTAGTATGACTGTCAGTCTGGTTTGGAGTGAACTACTATTGGCTCGACACAATTCGTCCCTCTCTCTTGAGAGGTGTAGTATACATAGTGTTAGGAAGAGTTCATTCTGTAGTTATAGGTAAGGACCCATGACAGATAGGAAATTGCTAGCTGTGTACCTGACAGTTTTGCATTTTAAACACCAGATAGAAGGCAAGAATGTGCTATAATGATAATAGCTACAAACCTCTTTGCAATTCTTTCAAAAGTCAAATTTCACTGAAATCTGACAGACATCATCTCTGTTTTATGAGTGAATATGTTATTGATATTTTACATATAAAAATAAAAGGTAGTAAAAATATAGTAGCTGATTCTTTTTCTTGACCCTTGATGTATGCATTAGAGATGTACAGGATTTGCAGGAAATGATGAAACACCTATTACTGATGAAGAAATTAAACACTTTCATGGTCAGCTGAAACCATATCCTATAAATTGAAATCAAACTATTCTATGCAACATACCATTACACATTCTACAACCTTTTGTGATGCAAGAGTTCAGAAAATTGGTATATGGCAAACTGCATAATCTATCACACTCTGGAATATCAGCTTCAATAAAAATGATAAGATTGAAGTACTACTGGCCAATAAAGACTCAAATCAATAAAAAGGAATGTCAGCATTGCCAGACAGCAAAAAATACTAAACACACAATTGTGAAATTCAGTTGTTTGATTTACCTTCTAATCAGTTCCAAACTATGTACTTCAATATAGTGGGTCCCTTAACACCAGTGAAAAATCTTACTGCTATTCCTTACTTTATTGATATTTAATAATGTGTATCAATAGAAGTACCCAATGAATAGAAACATGTCTCTTGACAGAAATTTCAGCACAATCAATTTCTATAGCTTTTGTCAACATGTGGATGTCCAGATTTGGAGTTTCCATCTATGTCATTACAGACAGTTAGTCAATTCAAATCTGAATTATTTTATGACAACACTGTACCTTCCACAGACAAGTGGATTAGTTGAATGAGTGCATCAAACTCTAAAGCAGCAATGATTTTGTTTGTGCAATATATACGACCAATAAATTAAATTTTCTGATGTGGTTGCTTTTCTTGAAGAGTTCTCACTAGCTTCAATGTTCAAGGATTGGCTTTAGGATCACACAATAAACAAGTTACCACACTCTCCAGGGGAGTTGGGTGATTGCTCAATGAGGAATAGAATAAATCAGTAAGTGATCAATGTTGAAAAATGGATTCACTCCAGAGAGTGAGAGACATATTCATATTTGACTTTCTAGGCACACCAGTTGAGAAAATGACCATGTATGCATGTCTCCAACTCCCACAGTTCACACCTGGTAACCTGAGAATATTTGGTAAATATCTGTTTTGGTGGCTGGAAGCAACCTGGTTACAATTGATTTCTGAGAGCAGACTTCATTTCCACTTATATTCCATTTATAACTATAACAGTCAAAGTCTTTATTTTCATTAAAGTAAAATTAATTCTTACAGTTAAATCTTAAATTTTTCATTTAGAGATAAATAATACATAAGTATCACTAAGGATTTAGTAAAAAAATGATTAAATTTATAAAAACACTTTTGAAATAATCTAAATGTCTTCATTGAAGTTAAATTTTAATTTTATTTGAAAGATAATAGCCTAAAACTAATCGCTTAAAGAAAAATAAGTTTGTTTTAATTAAGGTTTTTGACATCTTTATGGTCAGTCATCATTAACCAATAATCTTCATTATTAATAAAAAATGAAAATAATAAATTTAAAAATCCAGTGTTCATCCTAGATTTGTTTCAAAGTAAATTTAAGTATTAATTAACTGGATTTTGTAAAAATAATACTTTTTACTTAAAACAGTGAAAATAACTTCTGTTTATCAATAGTGGCCTGTGATCAACTTCAATAACAGTAAACTTCTACTGTCACCCCTTATACAAGAAGCTGAAAAACTTTTGGCCCAATCAAGAATTCCTTTAAAAAAATTTCTCATGGTTGGCCAAATTGCATAAAATGTTATTTGAATATCTGCATAAATTAGTGTTGAGGGGTCCTCCCCTTTTTACACAAATGGACTCACCCAGTATATACATATACTACTGATACATGAAGACCTGAGATGAGAGCAACTGAGAGTAAGGTAACAGACAGACAGAACGAATGTAGCCAGCAAGAGTCACAGTGAGCGAGCACGTAGACTCAGTAAGAAGTCATACAGTGATACTTCAATACCAAAGACTGTATATATATTTTGCTACTAACCCGTATTCCTGGAACTACTAACCTGCATTTACCAGTTTGTATTATTACGTTAATATATTTTTTTCCTATATTCATTCTTGGCGTTTGTTATTTATTGGTACCGGATTTCATCCCGGAATCCACAACAATTAGGTACCTGAAACATCCACCCAAAGAAGAGGATACATGTTGAAAAATACCCAAAACATAATAAAAGCAAAATTTTATCAAAATCTTTCAGCTATTATTAAGAGGAAAGATCAAAAGAATTTTTGATGTAAGAATTTTTTTTAATCCTTTCTGACACCTTGTAAATTATGGTTAAAATCTTGTTCATATGGCATCATTTAAGGTCCCATACCTTAAATTTGTATGAGAAATTTGAGCATCTTTTAGTAATGAAAAACATTGTTTTGGAAATACTTGCAAAAATCAGATAATTGTTGAATTTTAATGAAACTTTTATTTTTGAAACATTTCATTTTTAGAAAAAAAATTTAACTTGAAATAAGTTAATTCTTCTCAAATAATGTTTCAGAAAAGTACATTTTATATTTTAAATATTTTTTAATATAGAGAATTGTATTGTCAGATTTGTCAATATAAATGATCTTATAAATTTTACTGTTACAGAGAAACAAAAAAAAGATTCTAATCAATTTAAATTCAGTTTGAAATACACTAAAGTATTTTTTCTTACTGGTAATGTTAAATTTAATCTATTAGCTTTGAATTAAAACTAGAATTAAAGCTTCAAGAGAGAGTTTTCATTTTTAAAATGAATTTTAAATGTAGGTCTCATTTATTTTTTCTCAAAGTACCTAGTATAAATATATTTGTATAAACTGAACATATGTGTTTATATCTGTACATAGTTGCATATTTGTAAATATTAAGCATAAAATACTCAGAAACTAGATTCATGATTTAATAATTGTCTAGTCTTAGTATGTAGAGTTTATGATATAAAGGATATTTTTAATATTAATTTTTTACATTATCTTACTTAATCATTCATTATTATTTATTTGAAACATTTAATTAAATAACCTTAAATTAACCTAATTTGCTTGAACCTGAGCAGACATTTTTAACAAGAATGCAGTTTCAATTTTTAATGTTTGGATAATTATATTTTTCAAATATAAATGAATCTGAAAGATTTACAGTAATTCATTAAATTTTACTTTGTTATATACATTTGTCTTGGAAAGATTGTCTATAAAATATTTTTTTTGTTCTTCATTATTGATTTTTTTGAAAACTTAATTCTTTTGCTTGTTGACATTTCATTAATTTTTATAAAAAATGTTTTATAACTTCATTTTTAATTTCAGTTTCTAATTATTTTCCATTTTTTTTATCATGCAGATTATAATATCACACACTTTCATTCTGAAAATAAATTCTCTTTTGCCTTGAAACAAAAGAGTTATACATTGGTTTGTGATAAAGAACAGAATGGAGAAATGATCTGGTATTATGAAACAGATAATATGTTAAGCTATTTTGATAAAGACTGTTTTGAATTAATTTCTGATTATCTAACAAAAACATGTTTCATTTTACCTGTGATGCAAAGCAAAAGAAAGGAACATTTCACATAAAACAAGTTTCCTTAAGTCAAGATGGAAATATGATTGGCTGTGAAAGTGCAGGACAGCTTTACTTATTCCATTTAACAGTAAATGGTAAGTATGTATGATTTCATATTATTGTTATTATTATTATTATTATTATTCTCACTGATTTCTTCTCTAACCTGAGCAAAATTCAGGCCTGCAAAGTCAATATTACTTTTGTAGTGATTATAATTTTACTGCTTAATTATAAACAATTTGTTAATTTAATGCCTTTATAAAATAACACCTTTTATTTATAAATTTAATCATTTTCATAGAAAAATAAATCCTTAAATTTTCTTGGCTAGATTTGGGTTGGGGTGGAATTTTATAAATAATAAAATGATACTTGACAAAAGAACATGTGAAAGATATTTCCTCAAAGTACTGCAATGATTTATTAATTGAAAGTAATAACAACAAAGAAGATATAAAAATGAATGGTGGACAAAATTTATACCAATGTCTTGGTTCTTTTTTTGATCTTTTATCTCTGAAGTTGTTTGCAGTAGGTCAGTCAGTAGAATCTGACATCTACATTTCATGGATCACGACTAATTTCCATAAGAATGTTATTTAACAACATCCTGATTGGACAACAAATATAATCCGTTTGTCGTGTGACTTTTAGGACACCCTTCATATTAATATATATATATATATATATATATATATATATATATATTAAATATTATGAATTTAATCCACTTTTTAATGTCATTAATTTAATTACAAAATTAAATTAAAGCTTTTAGCTTCCATTTTGAAACATGGTTCGAAATGTGTAGCGAAAAAAAACATATTTTAAATCAATTAATTTATAATATTAATAAATTTACATTGAGCCTATTTTGTAAAAATCTTATCTATAAGAACACTGGATTATATATTTTGTTCTTTCTTTTTATTTATATATACATATATTATTAAATTATATATTTAATGGAGTTTTTATTTTTATTTATATCACTCTCTCATAGGTTGACTCGTCATTTGTCAAAATTTAGTCTAAGTCATGCACATATTGATCAACACATCGCAAACAACCAGAATAATACTTTTAGTATTAAAGATAAAATAACGTTCTAGTAGATGCTAACAATAATGAATTCATCAATATATATATATATATATATATATATATATAAAAAAAATCATGTCTTCTTAATTACAAAATTGAATGTTCTCACAGATATAAAATAAGTATTATAAAAAGTCATGTTTAACTCTGCAAAAAAAATTCCTTCTTTGATAAGGTCAGAAATTAAAAATAGATGTGTGGGTATGCCTGGATTGGTATATTAATCCAAACATAGCCACAAGTCTATTTTTAATTTCTGACTTTATGCCCTCTAACTTTAACTTTAGGATAAAAACTAAAGATTTGTTTTTAAATTTCCTTAAGAAATCATTTTATAACCAATTACCTACTTTCGCCTAAGCAAGTACAATCGTAGTATTAAAACATGAAAGCATTTTTGTATCAATTTAAAAATGTTTTTATTATAACCTCTTATAATAAGAATATACTAATATTTTCTCTACTTTGTATTGAGCACTTTTTTAAAAAGTAAATGCTGCAAACTGTGGATTTTAATCCATTTGTTCTTTCTAATATATATGTATATAATTAAACATTTCACCCAAGTAGTGCCAAGTGAATAAGGGATTACAGAGAGTGAAGGTAAGAGAAAAGACTGGGTATGGGGGGGACAAGGAAAGGATAAAAAGAAGAACGTCATTGATGATTGGCGTATATTCAAATTGTAGTTATCTAGTTCCACTGTCAGTGAGAAAAATGAATGAAATTGAAGTGTTTAAACATCTGTTTCAATGAAATGAAAACAGTTGTCAATTTCAGATCATTTTATTTGTACCCCTTACTTTTTAATGAAAAACATTCATATTTATAAGTATTATTAAATATTTTGTTAAAGTCGTTAGACTTAAATATTTAATGATGTGAAAGGGGAATTTCTATTATTTTATTGTCGTAAGTTCACCATGAGCTTATTCAAGTATTAACTTAATTAAGATTCATCAGAAAATTCAAACAGGAAAAACCGTGAAATTTTCACCAGTTAAAACTAGTTTATATTATTTTTATACACACTTGGTTATTTGAATTGCTTGTGTGAAATATTTTTCCCAAAAATTTTTTCTATTCTAAATCTACATTTCTTCTCGAGTTCATGTCAACAAGGTTATAACACCATTTGCAGGTTCAGAAAAATGTTTGCCACAGAAATATGAATTTATTTTAGAAAAAAAGTATTCTAATTTATGAAACTGAAACAAAATTATTTCAACATAAACAGGGTCTCTGAGTATGTGAGTAACTCATAAATAGAAAAATAAAATAAACCTACTTCATGAAAATGACAGAAATGTCTCATGCTTTTTAATTTTCTTGTCTTTGGTCAACCATCATTATGGAAGAAATTTTCAGAAGTTTCCCAATATCATTATGAATGACATGGATGACAAATTGGATGACAAATTCTTCAAACCACAAACTCTGTGGAACTTCAATTGAATTGAGTTCTTCAAATCTCAAACTCTTTGGAACTTCAATTGAGTTGAGTTCTTCAAATCTCAAACTCTTTGGAACTTCAATTGAGTTGAGTTCTTCAAATCTCAAACTCTTTGGAACTTCAATTGAGTTGAGTTCTTCAAATCTCAAACTCTTTGGAACTTCAATTGAGTTGAGTTCTTCAAATCTCAAACAACTTCAATTGAGTTGAGTTCTTCAAATAAAACTCTTTTGAACTTCAATTGATTGAGTTAAATCTCAAACTCTTTGGAACTTCAATTGAGTTGAGTTCTTCAAATCTCAAACTCTTTGGAACTTCAATTGAGTTGAGTTCTTCAAATCTCAAACTCTTTGGAACTTTAAAACCTCATGTCACGAAACCTTTTACTTTTTAAATTCCTTGGCATTTTGAAGAAATAAAATTAATTTCTTAAATTCACAAAATTTTGAGAGATATTTTAAGTTGAATTTAAAACAAATATTTTTAAAATCATAAAAGTTTTGTGTTAGTTTAAACTCAATATATCTTAAAACATTTAAAATCACTAATTTCTTTCAGTTATTTAAAAATTAGAATTTTTAACCGTTAATCTGGATGCAAATCTCAACAAGCACATAAAGGGCATATTTTTAATCCCAGAATAATCTTGATTCTATAAAGGTATAATATGCCTATGTAGGACAAGTGTCCAAGTTAGAGGTATTTCAGATACATGGACAGACAGAATTTGTTGTTTATTTATTTAGATGGACGAGCCTGTTGAACATTTGACCTGCCTATGCACAGAGAAGTTTATTTATCTGACTGATACCAAACAATCAGATGTCTAGTCACACAATTTTGTATGTAAATAAATATATATATATATATATATATATATATATATATATATATATATATATATATATAGTGATAAAATTAAATTAGCTCTTACAAGTTTTTTTGATTGCATCAACTCATAGAGAGTTGAAGCCTGATAGTGAAATTTAGTTCACAAAAACTCAGTTCTATTCAGTTTTACTACCAAGTCCCTTTAAGATTAAATGCAATGACCGTGACAATCAGGTTAATAAAAGATTAATTTTATTTGTTACTGTTAATACTCTATCTTGATATTGAGCACTTTAATTACAATAACTGCTTGCCTTAAAGGTACTATGTTTGAAGCATACTTTGGTCAACCCTTTTTTTTTCATTTTTTGGCTAAATAGAATCTGTTTACACATACACACACACACACACACACACACACACATACACATATATATAACTTTAAAAAAAGCTTTATAACTTTAAAAAAGCTTTAAAAGATTTATAACATTAAAAAAGCTTTATAAATTTAAATAACTTTGTGTTTTTCTTTTAATAAAAAGCGTTAGGTGGTTACTTGATAAAAAAATTGCTAGATGAGACCGTAAGTTGAAACCAAGGTATATTCCACTGACCACTTGATTTTTAAAGTTAAAATTCCTTATTTTTATTCGTATTTTATTTTTCAAACATGTACTGCATAGCAATTTTTAATACTACTTTTTCCTGGTCAGTTTCATCTTTGACAATTAATCTTATATATATATATATATATATATATATATATATATATATAAAGGGCCGGTGAAAAGATCTCATGCCCCCAATACTGAATCTATGATAGGCTCCCCGATTCTACTACATCTCAGGTTTCATAATTCACATAAAATACAAATTTTATTGTAACCTAATTATGCACAATAATAGATCATTCATATATAATATAGGTAAACAATTCAACTAGAAAATTTTAAATAAATAAAATGTATCTAAATATAAATTAAAGACATGTCATAATAACTTGTTCTATCTTATTTAACAGTGTTTTGCAGCAATTTTTAACATTGACTTGTGATTTTCCTTGTTAAAAAGTTGAAAAATTTTAACACATTCAACATTATGAATAAAAAATGTTCAAGTTCTAAATCTTGTGCAAGCTAAACATAATTTAGGCTCCAGTTAAAAGTACAAGAAAACTTTTTGATTGGTTAATAAATATCAAGGTCATATTTACGCCTACACACAATTGTTCAAACCAGAGAACTGCTGTGTTCTTGAGCCTGTTATGTGATCAACAAGTAGATAAATATGATACAGTAGCACATTCAAGCCAGTGAGCATCGTGAGAGCAACGCAATTGCCTACTAGAATCTATGTCCCACATTTTACCCATTAACATAATCTCAGCTTCCAGAACATTCACTACACTGGATTTCATTTACACACAGAAGTTCTCAACCACAGAACATTATTATTACACAGTAAAGTTCTCAACCACGGAACATTATTATTACACAGCAAAGTTCTCAACCACGGAACATTATTATTACACAGCAAAGTTCTCAACCACGGAACATTATTATTACACAGCAAAGTACTCAACCATGGAACATTATTATTACACAGCAAAGTACTCAACCATGGAACATTATTATTACACAGCAAAGTTCTCAACCACAGAACATTATTATTACACAGCAAAGTTCTCAACCACGGAACATTATTATTACACAGCAAAGTTCTCAACCACGGAACATTATTATTACACAGCAAAGTTCTCAACCACGGAACATTATTATTACACAGCAAAAGTGGAACATTATTATTACACAATTCTCAACCATGGAACATTATTATTACACAGCAAAAGTTCTCAACCACAGAACATTAATTACACAGCAAAGTTCTCAACCACAGAACATTATTATTACACAGCAAAGTTCTCAACCACGAACATTATTATTACACAGCAAAGTTCTCAACCACGAACATTATTATTACACAGCAAAGTTCTCAACCATCATTATTATTACACAGAAAGTTCTCAACCACGAACATTATTATTACAGCAAAGTTCTCAACCACCATTATTATTACACAGCAAAGTTCTCAACCACGGAACATTATTATTACACAGCAAAGTTCTCAACCACGGAACATTATTATTACACAGCAAAGTTCTCAACCACGGAACATTATTATTACACAGCAAAGTTCTCAACCACGGAACATTATTATTACACAGCAAAGTTCTCAACCAACGGAACATTTTATTACACAGCAAAAAGTTCTCAACCACGGAACATTATTATTACACAGCAAAGTTCTCAACCACGAACATTATTATTACACAGCAAAGTTCTCAACCACGGAACATTATTATTACACAGAAAGTTCTCAACCACGAACATTATTATTACACAACCACAGAACATTATTATTACACAGCAAAGTTCTCAACCACGGAACATTATTATTACACAGCAAAGTTCTCAACCACGGAACATTAACCACGGAACATTTTTTACACAGCAAAGTTCTCAACCATTTTATTATTACACAGCAAAGTACTCCCCACAGAACATTATTATTACACAGCAAAGTTCTCAACCACAGAACATTTTATTACACAGCAAAGTTCTCAACCACGATTCATTATTATTACACAGCAAAGTTCTCAACCACAGAACATTATTATTACAATAGCAAAAGTTCTCAACCATGGAACATTATTATTACACAGCAAAGTTCTCAACCATGGAACATTATTATTACACAGCAAAGTATGGAACATTATTATTACACAAAGCAAAAGTTCTCAACCACAGAACATTTTATTTATTATTACACAGCAAAGTTCTCAACCACGGAACATTATTATTACACAGCAAAGTTCTCAACCACGGAACATTATTATTACACAGCAAAGTTCTCAACCACGGAACATTATTATTACACAAAAAAGTTTCAACCATTTATTATTACACAGCAAAAGTTCTCAAATGGAACATTATTATTACACAGCAAAGTTCTCAACCACAGAACATTATTATTACACAGCAAAGTTCTCAACCACAGAACATTATTATTACACAGCAAAGTTCTCAACCACGGAACATTATTACACAGCAAAGTTCTCAACCACAGAACATTATTATTACACAGCAAAGTTCTCAACCACGGAACATTATTATTACACACAAAGTTCTTAACCACTTCTCAACCCAGAACGGAACATTATTATTACACAGCAAAGTTCAATCAATTATTATTAGGAATTTAATTGAGCAAAGTTTCAACAGCAAAAAATTTTTTTGAACATTATTATTACACAGCAAATATTTCTTAATTTGTTGAAACTGACTTTTGCTTTAATTTCAGTTCCTGTCACATCAGTATCTATTCATTTTCCAAGTCAAGATCTTCTTGAAAATAAAGATGGAATATTTGTTTGTAAAGCTGAAGAGTCAAAACCAGAAGCTTCCTTTCAGTGGTTTATTGCTTATCAGAATGGATCATTGCAGAAAATTCAACAGAAATTCTCAATATCTAAGACAGCTAAAGGAAAACTTTGGCAAACAAATTCCACTCTAATACTGAAATTAAAGAGAGACTATAAGAAGATTATGTGCAAAGCAAGAATTGAAAATATGCCCTGGACAAATTCAAAAGATAAATCATTAGATATAAAATGTGAGTATTTTTTTATATTCTTTCTCTAGAGGAGTTAGGATTCTTGTTGATGATATATTTTCTGCCATATTTGACCAACAAAATTTTACCTGTTCAAATTAGACATTTGTCATCATCATAGAAAGATTCACTTCTTAACCATTCAGATATTTTCAATATATATAAAATGATAATTCTCTCTTAAAAAAGGAGTTTGAGTAGTCCTGTTGATTAGAATATAGACTTTTTAACTTTTTTGTAATACTTGTAAGAATGATATTTTTTCCATGTTGAACTCATTTCTTCTTCTTATTTATTTCTCTAAACATTATTTTAGAAAATATTCATTTTTGAGTAGACGCCCTATTTTAAATTTTTTTTTGAACATCATGAATTATGCCTACCAGCCTGAGCACTTAATAAACTCAATAAAGAAAATGTTCTCTCCAGTAGGGTTCAAGCCTACATCTACCTTTATAGAGGAAACCACCATCTGATCCAGTGTGTTTTACACCGCCCTCTCTCTTTCTCTCTCTCTACCTCTCTCCCTCCCTCACTTAGAAATAAATAATATTTAATAATTTTCAAAATATTTTTATTTCCTAAAACTGTAGATGTTTAAATTAAATTTTGTTTTTTCCATATTCCTCATTCAGCTTGTTTCTAGAAACAATCAAAGGCAAAAATTTTTAAAAGCAAAAATAAATTTCATTTTAGTATCTAGGTATTTTAATTTTACTTAAAGGAAAAAAAATAATTGCCAGATGGGATAAGTAAATTCTCAAGCTTTACATAAATTCAGATTAACTTTAATTTCAAAGTTTTGATTATAACAGCTATAAAAATTATGATAGAAAAGAGGAAAATTCTGATAAAAATTAATGTCATAAACTCTCAGATAATTTGAAGAACATTGATTGTATAGTTAGAAAAATGGCATGGATTGAAAGTAGAAGTAAAGTCAAGAGGATTATAGAAATGTGAATTTGGTATGGATTTGGGTTTCTTTGATTGGCAGCTTTGTTGACATAGGAATTCAATCTTGCTTGAAGCTCACAAATTCATTTTGATATAAAAGGTTCATAAAATGCATCGTGTGTAATGTGTTTTTTATATAAAGTGGAAGAAAATTGTGGTTTTAAAAATTTTTACTAAAAGTAGTGCATTTCATCAAAACTTGAGTAAGTAATGTTTGTTCAGGGAATTATCATCAATTTAATATATATTTATTATTTATTTGATTTTATTTTGATTAAACAGCTATAAATCAACCTAGAACTATATATTTCTGTTTCTCTGATATATTATTTCATAAATATATCCAAGTTATCCAAAATAAATCTTTAAAAACTATTTGAAATCAGTATTCAGGAAAGATGATTATTCCTACTTTTTCCAAGGATTACCATTCCTTTTATATTCTGTGTTAGATTTGTCAAAACATTCATGCACCATTTCTGTATGATTATACATTTCTGAAAACTTTCCAAAACAAAGTTATAGTTAAATTATGAAAGACACTTTTTATTGACAATTTGTTTAAAACACTAATTACTATTTTTAATTAATCCATTCATTATTTAATGAACTTGCTATGTATTAGTTTATCAGTCGGAATTATTTGTTAAATATTTTATTGTCTAAACAAAAGATTATACAAACTGATTTGAATTAGATGTTTTATTGTGGAAATAAAATTTCAAATAATATATTACCCCTATTATAATTATATATTTATTATAATCCTGTCCTTCTGAAGCTTTTGTAATATTGTTCATTTATACAATGAACTGTAATTCCTGTTAAAATCATAAAATAGATTTTGCATATTTATAGAAAATAGAAATAACATTATTTTACACTCACTATATTCTTTTTGACAGATCTACCTCAAGGAAAGCCAAGAATCATTTTGTCCCAATCTGGAATATGTGCAGGGAAATCTATAGAAATTAAATGTGAATGGAAAGGTGGTTATCCTGAAGCTATTGTAAAACTATCATGTCTTTCTGAAGTCAAGGAAGGACAAAGTTCTGTTAGCATAAAAAAACAGTGACTCAAGAAATGAGTCGATTTTGTATTTGTGAAGGAAAGCATATTGGTAAAGAAGATAATGTGACTGAAGAACTGGATATTCAGTGTAAGTAAATGATTTTAATGTATATAATATCTCTTTATTATGTTTAAAAATGATTAAGAAAATGAATGCTTCAATAAATTTTCCTTTGTCTCATTTAGCAAATGTCTATGGCACATAAACTAAATCCAATTCTGAATTTGAAAATCTCTTGCTTCCTAAAAATTGGGAGAATAAATTTCTTTTAATGAATATGCAGGTATTTTGAGTTGTGCCTTTTTCTTTTTTTAAGGAAGATGTTCTCTCTTTAAATAAATTTGTGTATCTATTGATCTTGTTTTTTTTTTATTTAATCATTTCACCACCACCACCACCTCCCCCCCCAAAAGGGGGGATAATGCCACTCAGAAGCAAGCAGTCACTGGGAATGAGAAGACTAGTGAGAAAAACAGACAAAAAAAATAGGTTTCAGGAAGACAGAAGATGACAATCGATATTGCGTTTAAATTTTTGAAGAACATAGGTGGCAGGGAAGAAAAAAAAGGAAAGAGAGTTCCACAGGCAAGAAGTATTGTGAAACAAACTATTAGAATAAAACTTGCAGTTATATTTAGTTATTTGAACAGTAAAACAATGGGACCTATTTGCTAATTTAGTAATACACTTAAATTCATGGAGTTAAGGTACCAAGGAAGAAAGCTCATTAGAATAATGGACTTGAAAATATTTATATAAAAGACATAGAGAAGGCACATCATGGCAGGGAAAAGGTGACTAAAGTTGAGATGCCAGGACAGAGTATGGGTATTGTTGTAGCTTGCTTTCTGTTGCTAGGAACAATATCTTGGTGTTTCTCCTTTTTGTTGGGCTTGTGTTTAGTGCCTTTGTTGGTGAATTTTGCAGGTTTAGTAATCCTATGATGAGATCCTCTGCACTTGCACCATAACCGCTTCATGACTTTGACTGCTGTCCTCTGCTGCTCCATTAGCTTGTCTGTTACCTGGTGATATGGTTTCATGTTAAAACATCCATTTCTTTGCAAACTTCTTGAAATGGTTGGATATTAACTTGGTCCTGTTGTCAGAGGCTATCACATCTGGTATGCCATAATGTGCAAAATGGTTCTTAAGGCACTCACTCACTGCATCTAATGTTGGTGCAACAAGATGATCAACTTCAATGAAGTTGTTACAAGAGTCCACAGTGATTAAATATTGCTTCCCACCCCACATCTTGAGGTCAGTTGCTACATTTTTCTAGGGTTTTTCTAGAATTTATAACCTGGGGTTCTGCTGGCTGGAAATTTGAGAATATTGCACATGTAGCACAAGCCTCCACATACTGTCTAACCTTAGCTGATATACCTGGCAAAAATGTCAGGTCTCTTGCCCTCCACAAACACGTATTGATGTCCAAATGGCCAGACAGAGCATACATATTTTCTTGATGCAAGACACTAGGGGTTATGATCCTTGTCCACACAGGATTAACCCATCCTGTACTGTCAACTGATCCCAATAGTCAAAAAATGGTTTGATGTTGTCAAGTAGGTGTTTCTCTCATTGGGCCACCCCTTGGCAATAAGTGTGGCTAGTGCCATCATTTTTGCATCCTGTACGAATCTGTGCCAGCCTTTTTCTTTTCTTTTTTTTTTTTTTGAAGTGACAATATTTACTCAATATTTTTCTCTTGTTTCCCTTTCGTTTTGCCTCATTGTATTTTTATTTTTGAATATCTTCCATTCGAGGTTAAGGATTTTGGGGTCAAAACTGATTTTTTCATTGCATGTCTTTCCATATGCAGGACATCTGTCCCTTCAGGAAGTGTGGTAGAAAGTATAAAATTGGCATCACTGGTGTAAATTCTACTTCTTTTCTTCAGCAACCTTCATTTCATGAATAAGGGATTATTCAGTCTTCATCCCTTGGCTCTGTGCAGCAGCTTTTTTAGCTGTTCTGCAAATGTCTATTGCCCTCTGAAGATCAAGGCCTTGAATTTTCAGTAGGTCTTGTCATGTGTTGTGTCATAGTTCCTTATACCAGTAACAATTATCATTGAGTCTCAACAGTTGTTACAAAAATTGCACGTTTTCAACAGAACTTGTAAATTACTGAAAAAATTGTTGAAGGACTCACCCTCATCTTGTCTTCTTTGTCAGAACACAAAATGCTCATGTTGTATTCGCCGATCGACACATAAACAACGTGGAGTAAATAAGGTTTACAGTCAACAAAGAAGTAAAATGATTCGGTCTTACCGTGCAGGTATTTGTTCTTCGTAAAATAGAGTTGAGATGAGTCAGCAATGATTTCTCGCTGCACTTAGAAAAGAGAGATGTAGATTGGAGTGCGAGAACATACATTTCTTTCCTTAAGGCATTTTACAGGAAATCGCTCTCCAGCGGAAGTCCTAGTTCCCTTTCTGTCCGCAGTTAATATACATGTGTATGTGTATATATACACATGGATGTATACATATAACACCCCCCTCCCAAGTTCTTTATTATTGAGGATACAATTTCTTTACTTTGTAAAATCCTGCATCCATCAAGGTTGATGTATTCGTCGTCCTGATCTGGTTCGGACTCCTGATTCTGAAACGGCTGGACATGGTTCTCGTGAATTAGGTAGATGAGGTTGTAAAATCCTGCATCCATCAAGGTTGATGTATTCGTCGTCCTGATCTGGTTCGGACTCCTGATTCTGAAACGGCTGGACATGGTTCTCATGAATTAGGTAGATGAGGTTTTCTGGTTGCGCTGAATATTGTATCAAGATATGATTGTGATACTAGCGTCTTTGAACAGGGTACTTGCAGTATACGTCGACGGTTTCGGCGTATACTTCTACCATTCTCCGTCAGCACTATGTATGATTTGGGTTGGGAGCAACGTTCAGTCACTACTCCTTTCCTGGACCAAGTTTTGCCATCATGAACACGGACCTGGTCACTTCTTAAGAGGAAGCTCCCGTTGATGGCTATCACATTGTACTGTCTGTCTGTGATTTGGATTTGCCTTTTTAGATCATGATTATTTTTTCTCATGATTGGTAGCAGTGTTCTCAGTTGGTGATTCATTAGCCTAGCTGCCGGTGAAGGAGAGTTGTCTTTGCCAGGTGTTGTATGCAACGTTAGTAGCTCAAGGTATGGATCATCTCCTGTCTGGAAACATTTATGCAATGTTTTTTTCACTGTTTGGATAGTCCTCTCCACTAGACCATTGAACTGTGGATATTCTGGGCTGCTAGTTACATGGGAAAAATCCCATTCAGTGGCAAATTTTTATATTCACTTGACTTAAATTGAGGGCCATTGTCAGAGATTATTAGTTTGGGAATCCCATGTTTAGCGAATATGTTTTTTTGTCCGATTAATCACCGTCAGTGCTGTTGTATTATGAAGTAGACTTATTTCAAAAAATTTCGAGTAGTAGTCCACTACCATGAGGTAGTACTTCCCTTGCAGTCTGAAGAGGTCTGTGCCATCTTTATGCCAGGGTTGGTCTGGTATGTCATGTGGAATCTGTGGCTCTGTACTTTGCCGGTTGCTATATCGTTGACATGAATCACAATTTTTTACCATATCTTTGATTTCTTTGTTCATGTTCGGCCAAAAAAGAGCCTTCCTGGCATTAGATTTAGTTTTTTCAATTCCTAAATGCGCCTGATGCAGAATTCTGCGCATTTCTGCACGCATACTGAGTGGTACAACAATTTGTGAACCCTTCATTACCAGCCCCATGTGGCGCGTTAAGTCATTTCCGAAATTGAAATAAGGGTGAAGACAAGGGTGCAGGTTGTGTCGATGTTGTGGCCATCCAATCATAATTTGATGTTGCAGTTGTTGTAACGTTTGGTCATTCGCTGTTTCAGTTGTGAGCTGTTGTTGACGTTTGTCACTGATGGGTATGGAGGACATTATGGAATGGACAACAAAGTTCATTTCTTTGTCAGAGATTTCTGGTGTGTTCTTTTTCTGTGCTGCACGGCTGAGTGTGTCAATAACATGCATTAGTTTGCCTTGAGTGTATGCAATTTCAAAGTCATACGTCTGTAGACGCATTAAGAAACGTTGTATTCTAGGGGGTGCTTTCGCAATGGGTTTTGTGACAATGGATTTTAGAGGTTTGTGATCATTGTTTACTATGAAATGTTGTCCATACAAGAATTCGTGGAAATGTTCACAGGATAATACTATGGACAGCATTTCAAGTTCAAGGGGGCAATAGTTGGCTTCAGCAGGTGTGAGAGAGCGGCTAGCAAATGTTATTGGAGCCCAATTGTCATTGTGTTTTTGTTTTAACATTGCTCCAAGTTCTAGTGTTGAAGCATCAGAAGACACATTAATTGGAAGTCAAAGTATTTCAATGTTGGACTCTGCGTAACTAAGTTTTTAGTCCTTGAATTGCTTCTTTCTGTGGTTTGTCAAAAGACCACATGTTGTCTTTTTTCAGTAAGAGACGAAGAAGTGCAGTTTCATTTGACAAATTTGGAATGAACTTGCCTAAGTAATTTATCATGCCTAAGAAACATTGGAGTTCTGTTTTAGTTGATGGGTCTGGCATGTCTCTTATCGCTTTGTATTTTCTTTCATCAGGCTCGACTCCCTGACTGGAAATTTTGTGCCCTAGAAATGTCAACTCGGTTATGTTGAACTGGCACTTTGATTTAATTTCATGCCTGATTTTCTTATGGCATTCAAAACCGCAATAGTTCTATTTTTTAGTATTTCTGGAGTGTCTGCCCAAATAATGATATCATCCTGTGAGTTTCTGCATCCTTCAATCTGTTCAATAATGGATGCTATTTTTGCATGACATATCTCATTAGCGCTATGAATGCCGTATGGAAGACGTGTGAATCTAAATCGTCCATAGGGTGAGTTGAAGGTGAGAAGTTTGGAGCTTTCCTCATCAACTTTAATTTGCCAAAATGCATTGGATGCATCTAACTTGGTGAAAAATTTTGCACCTGCCACTTCGTGGATTATGTCCGATGCAGTTGGTAGTCTGTGGTGTTCTCTTTTGATGGCCTTGTTGAGATTCCGTGAATCGAGACATATAC